CATCTCCTCCATTGGCTCTTCCAGAGTTGTGTCCTTTATGATAAACTGGGTATCATAAGGAGAGTCTTTTCCTGAGTTCTGTAGTTGTTGTAATCAATTATTGAACCTGAGTGGGGGTTGTAGGAACCCCTGAATTTTCAACCAAGTTGGACAGAAGTGAGGGGTACCTGGAGCCTTTGTTGGGACTAAGCCCTTAACCTGTGGAGCCTGAACTAGCTCTAGGCAGTTAGTGTCAGAATTGGTTGTAAATGTTGGAAAACAGCCACACACCCAACCTGTCTCCAGGGTTCCGACATCTCTAGTTGTCTTATTGAAGATACTCTGATGGCTTCTGGGCTTTTTCCACACCTAGTGAATATATAGGGTTTCCTCCACTGAGTGGAAGGGAGGTTGATTGAAGAACATGGGTTGGTCTCTCTAGACCAAAGTCAGTCTTCTGAATCCCTTGCTCAGAACTGAGTTTCTACCCAGCTGAGACACTTGCTAATGTTTATTAAGTATTTACTGAATAACATGAATCCTAAGCACCCATTTTTTTCATACTTTAACATGTTTGAAACTGAGATAAGTCTGACTGGTGGTAAGTCATAATTTAATTGAAAATGCCAGGTCCAGCACAGTGGCTCAACACTTGTAATCCTAGCACTTGGGATGCTAAGGTAGGAGGATTCTCTTGAAGTCAGGAGTTAAAGACAGCCTGAGCAAAAAGGGGACCCCGTCTCTACTAAAATTGGAAAAAAGTAGCCAAGGCTGGTGGGAGGTGGCCTGTAGTCCCAGCTACTCAGGAGGCTAAGGCAGGAGGATTACTTGAGTCCCAGAGTTGACGTTGTTGTGAGTTATGACGCCACAGCACTCTAGCCTGGGTGACAGAGTGAGACTCTGTCTAAAAATTAAGAAAAACAAAGGAAATGAGCATGCTGTTTTCTTTCTCAGCAATTAATAAAGTAATGGTGATTGTACAATTGAGGGTGTCTTAAACTGATGAAGTGCTAGGTTCTAGGCATTGGGCTGATCCTAATGCACATTCCTTTTTTTTTTTTTTTTTTTTGAGATAGAGCCTCTAGCTATCGCCCTGGGTAGAGTGCTGTGGCATCACAGCTCACAGCAACCTCCAGCTGCTAGGCCTCAGCCTCCCAGATAGCTGGGACTACAGGCGCTCACCACAATGCCCAGCTATTTTTTGGTTGTAGTTGTCTTTGTTGTTTGGCAGGCCTGGGCTGGATTCAAACCCACCCACTCTGGTGTATGTGGCTGGTGCCTTAGCCACTTGAGCTACAGGCACCGAGCCCACATCCCCTATTTTTATTTCTTCCATAGCCTCACTGTGCAGTCAGCCTGCTCATCCACCTTTCAAAGATAATAACCTGGACCTGTGAAAGACTGCTCCAAGTTACACGGCCAAGGAATGAGTGGTAGAGCCTGGGTCTGATTGGGCACTGGCTGCACTTGCAAGGCCTTTCCAGTGTCCAAATGTCTGGGTCAGTTTGAGGCAAGCAGGGCACTACAGCTTGCTGTGACCTGAAAGCACCAGTGTCTGCTCCCCTGGAAGATGGTTTGTTGCTAAGACCCCTTAAAGCCTGGCAGTCTGTAATTCTGCTGTCCTTCAACCTAGTCGAGACCACACCCTTTTTAGGTCACAGAGTAGGGAACTCCAGGCTGAAAGTGACCTTCAAGGTAATTTAGTGAAGAAGTGCCTTTTGGTATTTGAGGGGTTTTTTGAGACAGAGTCTCACCCTGTTACCCTGGGGAGAGTGCTATGGCTTCATAGCTCACAGCAACCTCAAACTGCTGGGTTTGAATGACCTCTTGCCTCAGCTTCCTGAGTAGTTGGGACTATAGGCACCTGCCACCACACCTGGGTAATTTTTTCTATTTTTAGTAGAGATGGGGTCTCATTCTTGTTCAGGGTGGTCTCGAACTCCTGAGAATTGCTTAAGCAATTCATCTGCCTCAGCCTCCTAGAGTGCTAGGATTACAGGTGTGAGCCAGTGTGCCAGGCCTCCTTTAAAAAGTTGATTACTGTGTGTTTTCATTATCCTATTAAATAATGTGAATTTATCTTCTGGAATATTACTAATGATCAGAGTTAGTATTTTCTTTTTTTTTTTTTTTTTTTTTTGAGACTGAGCCTCAAGCTATCCCCCTGGGTAGAGTGCCATGGCATCACGCTCACAGCAACCTCCAACTCCTAGGCTCAAGCAAGTCTCCTGCCTCAGCCTCCCAAGTAGCTGGGACTACAGGCGCCCACCACAACGCCTGGCCATTTTTTGGTTGCAGCCATCATTGTTGTTTGGCGGGCCCGGGCTGGGGATTCGAACCCGCCACCTTAGGTGTATGTGGCTGGCGCCTTAGCCGCTTGAGCCACAGGTGCCGAGCCCAGAGTTAGTATTTTCAAACATTATTGATTTAACATTGACATCTTTGCCTGATACGAACCTAAAAACAATTCTGAGTTTGTTTGGTTTTTAACTTTATTGTTATTTTTTGCGAGAGAAAGACAGGGTCTTGCTGTCAGGCTGAAGCACTAGAGTGCAGTGGTGTGATCATAGTTCCCTGCAACCTCCAACTCTTGGCTCAAGTGATCTTCCTGCCTTTGTCCTCTGAGTAGCTGGGACTACAGGGATATACTACCATGCCTGGTGTTTTAAATTTTTCTAATAATAGTTTTGGGATATAAGTCACATAGTATATAATTCACCCATATAGAGTGTGCAATTCAGTGGAAACTTCCTCTTATTATGGTAAAATAAAAATATATATAACATAAAATTTACCATTTTAACTATTTTTAAGTGTACAGCTCAGGGAATCACATATGATCAGACTGTTGTGCAACTGTCCAGCTCCAGAACCTTTTGTTTTGCTGAAATGAAGCTGTACTCATTTAATTCCCTGACGACAAGCATGTGAGAAATGCTTAGCATCACAAATCATTAGGGAACTGCAAATCAAAGCTGCAATGAGGGCCAGGCATGGTGGCTCTGCTTGTAGTCTCAGCATTCTGAGAGACCAACGTGGGTAGATCACTTGAGCTTAGGAGTTTGAGATCAGCCTGAGAAAGGCAAGACCCTGTCTTTACTAAAAATATCCAGGCATCATAGCAGGCACCTGTAGTCCAAGTTACTTGGGAGGCTGAGGCAGAAGGATTGCTGGAGCTCGGGAGTTTGAGATTGCGGTGAGCTAGACTGAGGTGATGGCACTCTAGCCTGGAGCAATGGAGTGAGACTCTGTCTTAAAAAAAATAGAAAATTCTGGGTAGTGGCCAGGCACAGTGGATCATGCCTATTCTCCTAGTCCTCTGGGAGGCCAACGCAGGTAGATCGCCTGAGCTCAGGAGTTTGAGACCAGCCTGAGCAAAAGTGAGATTCCAACTCTACTGAAAACAGGAAAACTAGTTGGGCATTGTGGTGGGTGCCTGTAATCCCAGCTACTTGGGAGGGTGAGCCAAGAAGATCACTCAAACCCAGGAGTTGGAGATTGCTGTGAGCTAGGCTAATGCCACTGCACTCTACCCCGGGCAACAGAGTGAGACTCTGTCTCAAATAAATAAATAAAGGATAAAATGAAAAAAGAGAAAGAAAATTAAAAAATAGAAAAGGAAGAAGCAAAAAAAAATTTTTGGTTAGTGATTTTGGGCAGGGGGATATGATCTCCAAAACAAAAATAGACAAATAGGATTTGTATCAAGCTAAAAAACTTCTGTACAGCAAAGGAAACAAAAGTTAAGAGACAGGCTTGGCGTCCATAACTCAATGAGTAGGGTGCCGGCCACATACAGCAAGGGTGGCGGGTTTGAGCCTGGCCTGGGCTTGCTAAACAACATTGACAACTACAACAAAAAATAGCTGGGTGTTATAGTCCCAGCTACTCAGGAGGCTGAGGCAAGAGAATCACTTAGGCCTAAGAGTTTGAGGTGGCTGTGAGCTGTGAAGCCACAGCACTCTACCGAGGGCAACATGGTAAGACTCTGTCTCAAAAAAAAAAAAAGTGAAGACACAACCTAACAATGATAGAAAATATTTGCAAATCACAAGGTAAGGGATTATTAATATCCAAAGTACATTAGGAATTCAGAAAACTATAGCAAGAAAACACACAACTAGATTCAAGAATGGACAAAGGAATAGACACTTCTTAAAAGAAGATATTCACATTGCTGATAGGTATGTGAAAAATACTCAATATCAGTAATCATCAGGGAAATACAAATTAAAAAACACAGTGAGGTACTATCTCATCCTTGTTAGAGTGACTATTAAAGAAAAGTAAAGGCTCGGCGCCTATAGCTCAGCCGGCTAAGGCGCCAGCCACGTACACCTAAGGTGGCGGGTTCGAATCCCCAGCCC